TGTTCGCGTCATGGATCCTCACGCGCGTAATCTTGTGCAGCAATAGAGTCGGCATGGCTCAACATCCTAGTGAATACCTTGAGGATCCTAAATGACTATTTTCCCCTCTGAGAAAGATGGTTATTCTGGCTTTTTACAGTGGTCACATTAATATGACTGGACGGTATATATATATATTGCATGGGCACTTAGTTCTTTCGAAACTCATCTCTTTTCAAGAAACTTTGGATTATATTAAAACGCTGTCAAGTTGTGTTTGTTGTTGTTTATAATGCCACCTGTCTGACGTAGTCAGATCGAGGCCCATTAAATTCATCGTGGTATAAGGCAAAAGGTACGCCTATCGTTTGCCTTGAGCATCATACAGGTGACAGTACGATTTAGCTCGGCGAAATTCCCTTAAGGGACGATAGATGGCGCCGCTAACTATCTCTACCTCCACAATTACTGCATGGCTTCTGAAGGGGAGGGAAATAGTCTCCGGTCCCTGCGCTCGTGATTCAGCCCACAAGACTACGAACCCACTGATTTAACGAGCACGTACTCCGCGTGTACTCGGAGGGTATTTGGTGGCATCGGGCATCGAACCCAGGACATCCTATCTAGAGTTGGATGCCCTAACCTCTAGGCTACCCACGTTGTACCTTACTCAAGTTGTACTTTTGAATAAATAGCATTTAAAATTTAAAATATAACTAATGAAATTTTTAAAAAAAGAAAAAAAAACTTTGATATAAAAACATTACAAATATAAATAAAATAAAGATAAAACTTGATGTAGATACCTTGATTTTCTCTTGAAAAAATGTCTTTCTTTTATCACTTTTTTTTTTTTCGTGATGGGAGTAGGTGGAGCGATGCCCAGCCAATCCGGTTGCAGCAAAAGTGTCCAAGTTAAACAAAGAAAATATTTAAATGTTAAAAGTTAAAGTGATCTGGTATCGAGTTGAGATTCTCTGAACATAATGAAATACATAACTAAGAGGATATGGGTAACGGCTAGTATTATATATATAAAGGAAGGAAGAGTTAAGCGCAGGATAAACAATATGTAGTAAAAACTTGTTAAAATTTGTGAAATGACTCAATGAAATTGTATTAAACATATTTTTATCTATTTTAAATGTTGAAATTTAAATTAAAGTTTACAGAAAATCATTTATATTGCCGACAAAATAAGAACATTAGAACAAAAACCATGATTAGATGACAAGGTTAACATTAGAGATTGCACCGCGTCTTATGATTGAACAATAGCATACTTAATTATTATAAATAAGTTTAGCAAAAACCTTTTATCGCTACCAAGTGGCAGGCTACGTTATAAAACAAAAATTAAGCAAAACATTAAAATGTAATTTTTCGTTTCTATTTTTTAAATTTAAAATTAAGTTAAATATGGGTAAAAGCAGATGTGAATCATTACAAACAAGATGGAGAAGGGCTTAATCATCATTTTGTTAGTAATTAGTACGATTACCCCTTTGGTGGCTACAAAAAGAATCTACTTTAGAAACTCTCGAGGGAATAAGATGTTGATTTAGCATCCTAAAATAGCTAGACATTTGGGGGCAAATTATTTAGAGCTCTATTCGCAATATTATTAAGATTTACTTCTTATTTATAAAAATTATGAAATTTTGTACCATATTTATGTTTGAATATTTGTATTTTTTGTTCATGCATATGTTTCTAGTTCCTTATATTTAATAAAATCCAGAACAAACCTCTTTGAATTGAAGTTGAAAGAATTAGAAAAAAAAAATATTTGTTTACAAGTTGTACATTTTTACACTCAATTTTTGTTTTTATTGTTGTTTATGTCGATTAAGAAAAACACTCATCTTTGATTTTTAAATTTTGAATATTTCCTAGTAATTAAATGTGCTTTGAATTAAAAAAGCAATAATATATTACAAAGACTTTTCTATTCGTCAGAAATTATTTAAAACATTCTGAATTCATAATTCACTTTTTACTTTGTTCATTTCAAAATGTTGCAATATTTTCGTATAAGATTCTACAAATTCTTTCAAAAAATATTCCTGTGAATTAAAGATTTATCACACAATTTTATATATTTTAAAATTGCATATATAATATGTAATATAAATTTTATTTTATTCAAAAATTCCTAAATAGCTCATTACCTGTCATGTCTATTATGCGTTTTCCTTCCATTTTTTGCCATGTTCCCCTGTTTATATAATTATTAGATAATAATTATAGAGATGGAACTGCATTAAAATATTGTTTTTATGTCTCGGTACCATTACATCGCTTTAAAACTTGTAGCTGCTATGTTATACTTAAATTCACTCTCGAGTTTCTGAGAGCTAAAAAATATGCCTTACAACCTATGTAGGTACCTAATACTGACGGAAAAAAACATAGAAATATGGATTTTTTTTCATTGGAAATTGAATTACTTTATTCTTCTCTTGAAATTATATGGAAAAAGGTCTCCACCTTAAAAGAATTTTTTTTTTTCGAAAGCAGATTTAATTTTGCTTTCATCCAATTAAGGTTGAAAGTTATACTTGGTTGGATAACAAAAACAATTTCAGGTAAGAAGCATTCCTAACATAAGATGCGGTTATTTTTTTATCGAAATATAAAATTATAATATATTTAGTCAGATTTTTTTAATAAAATGTAATATTATTTTCAAAAACTCATTTGTGTTACATTATACTTTTAGATGTTTCAGAATTACAACATGGAAAATTATGAATAAAGTATATATTTTCGTTAAAATAAATGAAATATGGAGGTATGACCCTTTAAAAACATTTTTTCTGTTCTTAAAATATGCTAGGTTATTATCTGACGTAATATATATATATATATATATATATATATATATATATTTACTTATTACTTATTATATAATTTAGCTTTGAACAAAAAAGACTGAATATTCATCTAAATAATATTAAAAATATCCAAATATTTCTTAATACCAAAATTTCATAAAAGCCCAATAAAATTCCGTAGCATCGTTAATGGATACAATACATATATCACGAAATCTGGGAATATTTTATAATCTCTTCTTCAAAATTTAATTGATAACTTACATAACACGGCAATAATTAAAAATAGCTTAGAGATTGCTAGAGTTACTAAGGATATGTTAATTTTTTCCATGCATGGCTTTGATTTCGAGGACCTTTTTAATTCTATAGATATTGACGATATGTGATTAAGGTTCTACAGTTAATTTATGATAAATATGAATTATATACTTCAATGAAAAAAGAAAATATTGATATTCTTGTTGACCTCGTATTAAAAGAAAATTGCATTGCATTTGATCAGAATCTTTATAAGCAGATCAAAGGATTACCTCAGGTGATCCAGCTAGAAATTGTTTAGCGAACCTATATTTACATTTTTCTGAAATTGATCATGTTGTAAACGATTCTTACTTGGTTTATCGTTATATAGATGATCGAATAATTATTGGTACAAATAGTGAATAAAAACCAAATGTCACGTTCTACCCTGACTATCTCAACCTCCTTAAAACTAACTTTAACTCTAATATGGTAGAATTCTTGGATTTAGACTTGCATCTTATTAACAATAAATTCGTCAGTAACATTTTTGACAAAATAGATTCTTTTAAGTTCCATATAAATAAAATTACTGTATGGAATAGTAACTTGCATTTATATATTTACAGAAATATCATTTTGAATTTTTTATTTAGAAAAGATAACTTAACTACTCACAAACTGGATAAATTCAATAATGTAAAAAAAATTTCAATGTTGTTTAGATCATGAATACCCTTTTAATTTCTTAAGAACTTATATTCATCACAAATACATTAACCGTCTTGCTACTTCTAATTACAAATCTACCACACAACAATAGGATTTCAAAGTCAGCATGTTAGTGGTCTTGCTGTTAAGATTATATCATACTACTCATATTACAGTACATTCCTGTACGAAAACTGGAATTTTCATACAGGTTCCGCAACTGGGCATCCAATGAGAGGTGACAGGTAGAGTTTTCTGATTAATCACGCTTTATACTCCATCGGACGGATGGTTGGTGGCAAATACGGCATGAAACGTCTAAAAGCAAGCACCTTGCAACAATTGCTGGCAAGGTTCACGCTGGAGCATTATGGTCTGGGGAATGATTTTCTTAAACTTTCTGTGTTTATTCACCATTGTGGAAACCGCGATGGATCAATAGAAGTACGCATCTGTCCTTTCAGACCATGTCTACTTCTTTATGCGCATTGTTTTTCCTCAGAATGGTGGCATCTACCAGCAGGACATTGCGGAGTGTCATACAACTGACAGCGTACGTGCGTGGTTCAAAGAGCACCAGGATCAGTTTATCGTTCTTCTGTGTCCAGAAAACTCACCTGACTTAAGCCCAATCAATACTCTATGGAACCCTCTCGATCGGGTTGTTCGCGTCATGGATCCTCACGCGCGTAATCTTGTGCAGCAATAGAGTCGGCATGGCTCAACATCCTAGTGAATACCTTGAGGATCCTAAATGACTATTTTCCCCTCTGAGAAAGATGGTTATTCTGGCTTTTTACAGTGGTCACATTAATATGACTGGACGGTATATATATATATTGCATGGGCACTTAGTTCTTTCGAAACTCATCTCTTTTCAAGAAACTTTGGATTATATTAAAACGCTGTCAAGTTGTGTTTGTTGTTGTTTATAATGCCACCTGTCTGACGTAGTCAGATCGAGGCCCATTAAATTCATCGTGGTATAAGGCAAAAGGTACGCCTATCGTTTGCCTTGAGCATCATACAGGTGACAGTACGATTTAGCTCGGCGAAATTCCCTTAAGGGACGATAGATGGCGCCGCTAACTATCTCTACCTCCACAATTACTGCATGGCTTCTGAAGGGGAGGGAAATAGTCTCCGGTCCCTGCGCTCGTGATTCAGCCCACAAGACTACGAACCCACTGATTTAACGAGCACGTACTCCGCGTGTACTCGGAGGGTATTTGGTGGCATCGGGCATCGAACCCAGGACATCCTATCTAGAGTTGGATGCCCTAACCTCTAGGCTACCCACGTTGTACCTTACTCAAGTTGTACTTTTGAATAAATAGCATTTAAAATTTAAAATATAACTAATGAAATTTTTAAAAAAAGAAAAAAAAACTTTGATATAAAAACATTACAAATATAAATAAAATAAAGATAAAACTTGATGTAGATACCTTGATTTTCTCTTGAAAAAATGTCTTTCTTTTATCACTTTTTTTTCGTGATGGGAGTAGGTGGAGCGATGCCCAGCCAATCCGGTTGCAGCAAAAGTGTCCAAGTTAAACAAAGAAAATATTTAAATGTTAAAAGTTAAAGTGATCTGGTATCGAGTTGAGATTCTCTGAACATAATGAAATACATAACTAAGAGGATATATGGGTAACGGCTAGTATTATATATATAAAGGAAGGAAGAGTTAAGCGCAGGATAAACAATATGTAGTAAAAACTTGTTAAAATTTGTGAAATGACTCAATGAAATTGTATTAAACATATTTTTATCTATTTTAAATGTTGAAATTTAAATTAAAGTTTACAGAAAATCATTTATATTGCCGACAAAATAAGAACATTAGAACAAAAACCATGATTAGATGACAAGGTTAACATTAGAGATTGCACCGCGTCTTATGATTGAACAATAGCATACTTAATTATTATAAATAAGTTTAGCGAAAAACCTTTTATCGCTACCAAGTGGCAGGCTACGTTATAAAACAAAAATTAAGCAAAACATTAAAATGTAATTTTTCGTTTCTATTTTTTAAATTTAAAATTAAGTTAAATATGGGTAAAAGCAGATGTGAATCATTACAAACAAGATGGAGAAGGGCTTAATCATCATTTTGTTAGTAATTAGTACGATTACCCCTTTGGTGGCTACAAAAAAGAATCTACTTTAGAAACTCTCGAGGGAATAAGATGTTGATTTAGCATCCTAAAATAGCTAGACATTTGGGGGCAAATTATTTAGAGCTCTATTCGCAATATTATTAAGATTTACTTCTTATTTATAAAAATTATGAAATTTTGTACCATATTTATGTTTGAATATTTGTATTTTTTGTTCATGCATATGTTTCTAGTTCCTTATATTTAATAAAATCCAGAACAAACCTCTTTGAATTGAAGTTGAAAGAATTAGAAAAAAAAATATTTGTTTACAAGTTGTACATTTTTACACTCAATTTTTATTATTATTGTTGTTTATGTCGATTAAGAAAAACACTCATCTTTGATTTTTAAATTTTGAATATTTCCTAGTAATTAAATGTGCTTTGAATTAAAAAAGCAATAATATATTACAAAGATTTTTTCTATTCGTCAGAAATTATTTAAAACATTCTGAATTCATAATTCACTTTTTACTTTGTTCATTTCAAAATGTTGCAATATTTTCGTATAAGATTCTACAAATTCTTTCAAAAAATATTCCTGTGAATTAAAGATTTATCACACAATTTTATATATTTTAAAATTGCATATATAATATGTAATATAAATTTTATTTTATTCAAAAATTCCTAAATAGCTCATTACCTGTCATGTCTATTATGCGTTTTCCTTCCATTTTTTGCCATGTTCCCCTGTTTATATAATTATTAGATAATAATTATAGAGATGGAACTGCATTAAAATATTGTTTTTATGTCTCGGTACCATTACATCGCTTTAAAACTTGTAGCTGCTATGTTATACTTAAATTCACTCTCGAGTTTCTGAGAGCTAAAAAATATGCCTTACAACCTATGTAGGTACCTAATACTGACGGAAAAAACATAGAAATATGGATTTTTTTCATTGGAAATTGAATTACTTTATTCTTCTCTTGAAATTATATGGAAAAAGGTCTCCACCTTAAAATTTAATTTTGCCAATCATGATGCGACTAAACAAAAATTATAATCTCAATTTCAATTTTTTGCCAATCATGATGCGACTAAACAAAAATTATAATCTCATTCTACAAGAGATTTCGAAAGCAGATTTAATTTTCAACCGGCAACGGTTGAAGAGCAAGATGAAATTAAACAATTCTTAACATACAAAAAGCAGATCACTACGTAATAGAACACCCCAAGATAATTAAAGCGGTAATCAAGGGATTACCCACAACAACCAATACCGCGGATATAGAAGCAGACTTAAAAGAAAAAGGTTTCGAGGTAGAAAAAATTGCGCAATTGCGTAAATTTTCGACGAAATCCCCATTACCACTTTTCATGGTCCAACTCAAAAATTAAACAAAAACGCGCAAGATATCTTTAAGATTAAAAATGTTTAACTATCTCACTGTAGAAGTCGTCCCGTTCCGTAGGAGACCGGGCGCTTCTCAGTGCTTTAATTGTAATTATTTTAACCATGCAAGTAAAGACTGTAGAATGACACCCAGGTGTCTTAAATGCGGAAAAATCACAAGACTGCAAATTGCACAATAACTGAACGTCTAACAACCCTCCACTGTATTAACTGCAATGAAGACGGACATATGGCGACTAGTCGCCAATGCCCGAAATTAAATTAAAATCTAAAAAGGAAGAACCCCGAACGGACAAAAACATAGCAAATCAAAGTCGACCTGTTACTCCAGAAGTTAGCTATGCTAACATCTGTAGTAACAAAACTAAGCAACAGATGGCACCACGAGAGGAAACTCCCGAGATGTCAAATAAATCAACTAACGACAAAACCTCAGATAAGGCGGAACCGGCTTTTCAGTTCGAGAAATTCGCAACATATATAAATGAACTTCAAAACCTGACATCCAAGTTCCCGGAAATCTTCCGGGCACTGGAAGACATGGCCAAAACAAATAATGACATCGAAAAACTTAACATCTTCCTGGTTGCTGTTGCACGATCGTGTAACAGGGCCAACCAAAATAATTACCCTAAAAACCATACAACAGATAGCTGCCGACTCTCGAGTCGAGCAGTTCGATACAGCCATGAGTTTTTTAACTATCGTTCTGATTTAAGCACTATTTCTTAAATATTTTAATTTCTTAATTTTAATATTTAAATTTTTTATTTCTCTCAAAGTAATAACCCCATTACCAAAAAACAAAAAAGGGCAAATTTTCAATTTCATGTACCACCACTACCAGATAGGAGATGAAAGCCCGAGAAGGGCTAGGTGCTCCATCCAACAAAACCCAGCTAGACCTGTTCACACGGTGAAAACTGTGTTCTTATCGAAAGCATAAAAAAAATATATAACCATCTTTCGAAATAGCAAGTTTAAATACATGGAACAAATTTATTTTAAATGAAATGAAATAATTTATTTCTTCATTATTTTTTGAATAAAAAGTTGAATTACGTAATTGCAGTGGTAAGTAATACGATTACGAGCAGAAAGCGCTTACATTATTGTTTTTTTTGAAGCTCCGGGTTTTTTACGAAACGATACTGGATTAATTTAGATAATACGATTACTCATGGCAAGGAAATTCAAAAAAGAAGCAGCTCCTCTGTTGTACATTTTGTAGATGTTACGAATAAGTATTTTAAATATAACCAATAAGTGATATCGTCGGATCTTTTACAAATGTTATTACTATAAATCGAAAGGGTAAGTTTTTTGATACAGAATAAAAAGCGTTTACTAAAGTGATTTGAAAAGCTTATTTTCGTATTTAGTTTTCTATTCTACAAAATATAATGTTTATTTATAATTTTAGATAGCTTGTGCACTGAATATTCATTGATAGATTTTTATTAAATCGGTTATTTGTTTCGCTCATTCTGTGGTTCTTCAAATTACATTTTAATCGTTACGTAATCGTAAATACTTGTTTTTTTAATAACAATTCAATATGTATGTATATTCATAATGATACAAGCCGAATGACGGATTGACCGGAGGCTATGGTTTTCACTCTGGCAATGAATCGAGTTTCTCTGATATTTTTGTTTAAGGTGATGGCGGGCCATTAGTTTAACACCTTACATGACATCTAGATGGCGTTGGCTATTGCGAAATTTTTGGCACAAATATTTGTCTTAAGATTCCCAAGATGGGCAATAAATTTCTCTCTCAGGTAACCTTTTCAATGAAATTCTCCCCTTCAGCGAAAGGGAACACGCGGGGGGCTAAGGGAGGGTGACGGTCGTCAAACTGGTAAAATAAATGTTAGCTCTTTTTTTTTTTTTCTTTTTCGGGCGAGGGGTTAAAGCAGCAGAGTGAATCTTGACCATGAAAGACTTCTCATGTCTGGACATTGGTCAATCATCAAACTTTTTCAACTCTTGGACCCCTTAGAACTGTAACATGTTTTCGAGGAAACCCCTTCCTCGCTGAAGGGAATATATCTTAAAATGAAATTTAAAGTATATAGATAAACATATTTTTGATATTATATGTAAAGACAATTTTAAAAAAATATTTTATTTTTATTAAAAACTTTTATGATGTAATTTTAATGTTATTTACTCATTGATAATATAAATTTGTGATCCAAATGTCACCTACGCATGCATTATACTTAGTAACTGAGATATGTGTTCACAATTTTTTACACAAACTATCGACGTATAAGCTTTTTGAAATTATCTGCAGTAGCATTTCATATTCCGTGTTCAATTCGTTTTTGTTGCCAATCGCGTTAAAAATATTTTTCACTTTCTAAATACATTTTTGTGAATGGCATGAAAATGTTCATAGCTGTGTGAGAAATTCTGCGTATATGGCATGAATTGGTAACCTAAAATGTAGGTCTTCTAGCTTAAATTTAAATTTTAGCATCGAATCTGTTCATATGTCGATAAATTTTTTTTATCTTCTTCATTATAGGTGTTTTTTCCCCCACAAATGTAAAAGGTTTCAAAACATTGTACTAACTAGTATAAAATTACTTTGTGGAACTCCGGATAGCAAACAATAGTATATTCACAATCTACTGCATAAAATAAAGTTTTAAAATTCATTTATTATATTACAATAAAAGTTAAAAAAAAATTTTCAAATTATGTATAAATAAAATTTTTAATTTTAGTCTATGATCTTTAGATAATTGTGGCTAA